GATTAAAGGCATGAGTCACCATGCTTGGCTGTATCCTTGAACACAGAGAGATCCAGGTAGATCTCTGCCTCTGGAATGCTAGGATTAAAGGTGTGAGTGCCACCATTTTCTAGCCTCTGTATCTAGTGGCTATTCTGTTCTCTGACCCCAGATAAGTTTATTAGGGTGCACAATATTTTGGGGAACACAATACCACCACACTTTTCTGGAAAGGAAACAGAGGGGGAGTGGACCTGGAAGAGAAGGAAGGTCGAGGAGGGGACCTAGGAGTGGAGGGAGGAGAAACTGTAGTTGGGATGTATTGTATGAGAGAAGAATCTATTTTCAATTAAAAAAATAGAGGATTAAAGTTGCTGGGAAAAGTAAAATGAGATAATTTCAGAGACACAAATAAAACCATCTTACCATGTAATCCATGGACTAAGCTGTTCTTTACAAAACTCATATCATGTACCCATGGCTTCAGAATTGCAACGGAGTTTCTGACCTCTCATTGCAAAACAAGAACAGGATGGTTCATTGTTCCCCTTGGCAGCTTGAGCCTAGACTAGACTAGCAAAACTGAAAGAGGTTGTTGATAAATACAAAAGCAAACCAAACAAGAAAAATATATTCAGGTATTACTGTGCCATGCATATTGTGAGAAAAGTATTTTAAAATAATTAACTTTAGGATAAAACACATTTTCACATATTATAACAACTACTTATCTTTCTGACAAAATACAGAGAAACAATCTGAGGGAGAATGAATTTATTTCATTTCAGACTTGCATGGCCCATCATCATGAGTAAAATATAATGGCTAGAGACTTGTCCATATTGATGGGTAGAGGCAGCGGCCGCTGGTTACATGGTGTTACCTATGAAGAAAAGAGGTAGATAACAAGTTAGGCAGACATATAGCCTTCATTGTGGACCCCTAAAGCCCCATCTCTGCTGATCTATTCCCACCTCTTTAAGGTTTCACAACTCCCAAAACAGCTTCCAGCTGAGGAAACTGTTTAAACTCATGATGTTTCAAGCACCATTTCAGATTGAAGTGTAACATAGCAATAAGGGAGAGACTGCAGGAAAGCAGATAATTCCAATAGCCAGGAAAAACTTCAAAAAGACATAAAAGCATTATACTACTGCGTATTGGAATAAAAATGAAGGAAATATATCTCATTATATTCTAATGAAACTTGGAAAAGTCATCAATAAAGCAAACTTAAAGTTTAGAAAACATTGAATATTTCTCACCTAAGAATTGTAAATTACCACACAAGGTCTTCATTGGCTTTAAATTCTTGGTTTTTCAAGTTCACCTGAAAAACAAAATATGGTGACAGAGATTAAAACCACACAATGTAGGCACAAGGGACTTGTGCTAGGGTGGGCATACTCTAGGATATGAAAAAGACTTCCATGTATCATAGCTATAAATTCAAGCAAAATGAAATAAAATGCCATTCTGATTATGTAGCATAAATTATATTAAAAAAGGTAAATATATTAGAATTAGAACAGTTAACCACAATGCATAAAACTAGTTTATACATGTGCATAGTTTCTATATTCCTTATTCATAAATAATGCAAAAATACAAAATGGGCTGGTATTTTTATATCTGTTACAACAACTATTTATAAAGATCAAGCAGCACTGCTGTAATAAACATCAGCAGGGTTTCTGAGTTTGTGGCAAAAAATGGAAGCCTTATTTATTAATTACTTGTGGCAGTATGAAAAGATGTTGTAACTAGGGAAAACAGTTTTGCGGTCCTCAAAAAACTAAACATGGAATTACACTGTGATTCAGATTTTCAATTTTTATGACCATGCTTCAAATCTAAAATAAGGACACACATACACAGTAACCTCTTTAGTATTACAATACAAAAGATTCATCAACTAAACTTCCAGGAACCTAAGAACTTTCAACCCTCAAATTCTCAAGGGGTTGTCTCACCTGAGGAAGTAGTTTCTCCACCCTCAGTAGAAGTTGTACTCCACCCATGAACCCCAAAATAATGCCTTTTCTGCCTTTGACTCAGGAAATTAATCTTTATTGTCTGCTAACCTAACAGTGACTTTCTCTGAAGGAGTTGCCAGGCAAGAAAATGTTCTTCAGGGACCATCAATAGTTGCCTCTAGACCTATAACCAGACTCAAAGCAAAGCAGGCTCCTAGAGGAAAGCTAGAAAGTATAGTCCACAAGAAGGAGCACTATACTACTAAAGAGCTTAATGGATTTACTAATTCAAGCAGCAGTCTAAAGAATATGTGTGGGAATGGATTTTAAGGGCATCGGGTAATGGTGGATTAGGGTGAGTTTATTGATGTGGGTCCACTGAGTGGGAATTCTGCTGTGGGATAATGCTTTTGCACACTGGTTTAATAAAACACTGATTGGCCAGTAGCCAGGCAGGAAGTATAGGCAGGATAAGCAGACAAGGAGAATTCTGGGAAGAGGAAGGCTGAGTCAGGGGAGACACCAGCCTGCCGTCCAGGGAGCAGCATGTAATGGCACACAGGTAAAGCCACGAAACACATGGCAACATATAGATTAACAGAAATGGGTTGAGTTTAAGTGTAAGAGCTAGTTAGTAGTTATACTGAGCTAATGGCCAAGCAGTTTTAATTAATATTAAGACTCTGTGTGATTATTTTATAAAAGGGTGCAGGACTGTGGGTAAGAGATTTGTCCCAACTGTGGGCCAGGCAGGACACAGAAAAACTTCAACTATAGGATTCTGTGTTTAATATGGAAGCCTGCACAGTTAAAAATGTGTCAAAAGTTTGTATGAATAGTGGACTAAAGCATTTGTCAAAAGATGGCCTACTGAAAAGGAGTTGTTGATGCCTGATATCCCTTGGCTTAGTGTTGATGAAGGAATTTTAAGGCTCAGAGAAATTGCAACGCTAGAGTGGCTATGCTGTGTAAAACCAAATCCTCTGCAATAAGAAGACCAGAAAACATACCCTTCACTAATCCTATAAGATGCAAAATGGTGAGAGGGGCACCAGCACATTTGAAGAGCTTTGTTGTTGCCCTTTTCCTTGTGCCAGACCTTAGGGTTTGAGATGCTGATGCTCAGTTGGGTGGATTAAATGCAATGGGTTTAATTGGGTCTCACAGAAGCAGAGCCCACGTGGCAGCACTGAATTGACAAAAGCAAGGTGATCGTAGTTTTCATAGTAGGCAGCTTAAAGAAAGCAATATCTGTAATAACCTGGCCCATTAACTGTCAGCATAGGCAAAGTGAATTCTATAGTACCATGACTCATATGGACCTTTGCTACTAGCTAATCAAAAGGGGTGATTCCAGGCATGAAATAGATAAGGAGCCTACTTCATTTTGTTTGATCTACATATGTAGAAAAAACTCAAGCAAATGAAAAAGGTTCCATTAGATTGTGGCAAAAGGGAATCTTTTTGGCCTGTGCACCAATTTCAAGACTTGAGCCAGTCTGCAGACTCAGAACCCCTTGAATGAAGACATGGCCAGGTTCCCCTGAGGAACAACCTTGGGAAAATATCCAAAAGTTTTACCTTTAGCCTTTTCTCATTCATCCCCAGAGGGACTTATGGCTTTTTACAAGGGTAACTGAACTGGCTGGCTTTGTGTGTCAACTTGACACTAGCTAGAGTCATCAGAGTAAGGAGCTTCAGTTTTTTTCATTTAGTGATCAATGCGGGAGGGCCCAACCCATTGTGGGTGGTGCCATCCCTGGGCTGCTGTACCTGGGTTCTATAAGAAGAGGGATTGAACAAACCACGAGAAGTAAGCCATGAGAAGCAAGCCAGTAAGCAGCTCCCCTCCATGGCCTCTGCATCAGCTCCTGCCTCCAGGATCCTTCCTTGTTTGAGTTCCTGTCTTGACTTCCTTCAGACATCAGTCCAGTGTAAGTGGAAGTGTAAGCCAAACAAAGATTTTCCTTCCCAACTTACTTTTTGGTCATGATGTTTTGTCACAACAATAGAAATCCTGACTAAGACAAATTGGTTTCAGCATAGTGGGGTATTGTTTTGACAGACTTGACCATGTTTTGGGGAGGACTGTGGAAGGACTTTGGAACTTTGGACTAGAACAATCATTGAGTGTTAAGAGTTCAGTGGGTTATTCTTTAGGGGCTTGGAAGATAAAAATGTTAAAAGCAATGCAGAAGATGGAGGCCTGGCTTGTGAAGATTCAGAGGGAAATTTAAAGACTCTAACAGGGACATTTGTTGTTTTGAATTAAGACACTTCAAGTACTATATTGAATAGCTAGAGAGTGATCAACTTTGTCTTGCTGATGATTTTAGTGGAATTGCTTTGAGTTTCTCTCCATTTAAATTGATGTTGACTATGGACTTACTATAAACTGCCTTTATTATATTTATGTATGTCCCTTGTATCCTTGAGGTGCACATTGTAGAAGAGAATCCTACTCTTTCAAGTTATCATCTGACTCCTACACTAGCACCATGACATTATACACCCAGAACACACACTAAATAGTTGTATGTTAAAAAAAGAAAAAGAAAATTATGGAACATTCCTCAGAAAAGGATGCTCCAAAAAGAGTCATGCTTTGTGTAAACATGTAATTCAGTTACACTGTTAAAGGACAGAAAATGTACAGAATTACTGCAGTCTCCTCCTAGAGATAAATGTTACCAAGAGATGTGATTCTAGTAGTGTTAGTAAGTCTGGATCAGAAAGAAAACTGAACATATCTAATATCTAGCCATAAAAGAAATGTTGATGTATCTTCAAAATTAATGAAACAGGCTATAAAACATGCAGGTGTGGAATTGGTTTCTAGAATTTGTGCTCCTTGGTGGGAGCAGAATAAAGGTCCATGATGCCACTGACTTTTCAGTGTATCCCCCTGATCACTTCCAAAGAGAGAGTGCCATTTAAAGAGTGAATTGGTGTCTGCCTGGTGCTATACAAATGATATACTGCTTGTCACTAAATGTATCAAGATACATCAGGCTGGTTCTCTGTTTCTTTGATATCTTTCTTAAGCTAACCCCAAAGCCAGATATAAACTTGACAAGTAGTGGAATTACCTGAGGTCTTTGTTAATCCTGTCTGTGCAGGGTCATCTTTTCCTGTAAGTGTTGGATGAAGATTGGATTCAAGTTCACTAGCCCCATCGGTCACTGCATCATAGGTCACTATTGCATCCGTATTATCATGTTCAAGCCCAGATGTTTTGGCCTTTTTGTTACTGGGACCTGCTTCGTCACTGCTTTGTGTAGATGTATTATTGCAGGGTGCAGTATCATGATTACCTTTCCATCCAGTACTAGTTTCAATCTGTTTCTCCTCTCCTTGCTGGACACTGTTGATGGTGTCCATCTCCTTTCCCTTTTCAATGTTGACACTGAGTGCTTGCTGAGTTTTATACTTCTTCTTCCTGCTTAATGTTTTCTCTTGAGAAGCATCCTTTTCATTACAACTTGAATGCATTTTCATGATGAGTGCATCAAATTGAGGGTCTGAATCTAATGACCTTTTTGAAATTAGTTTTCTCCTGCAGACAGGACATTCTTTGTTGCCACGTCTAAGGGCTGTGATGATGCAATCTTTACAAAAGCGATGGAAACAGGATTTTGTAATCCTGGTGTTTTTTAATGTATCCAGGCAAATTGGACACCTAAAGTTATTATACTCATCACCATTTGAAGCCACAATTTCCAAATCATTTGTAGTTTCCTTCTGAGATCTTCCTTGTAATTCCTGTAAACCCTGTTCTGATGTTTCCCCTACTAGTTGTGCTTCATTTGTCTGAACTGCCTGTGACATTGTGGCTTCTAACACAGCCTGAGGCTCCTCTCTTCTCAGATTGGGCTGGGCTAGGGATTTTGTACTGTTCTCCTCTGGTCCCTCCATCCAACACTAAGCTTCTGCTTACCCAACTATACTGGAATACTTTATGCATGTAAAAACCTACAAAGATTGAAAATAAAGAAAATGTTAGCTGGATAAGGCAAATAATCAGAGTTTTATAGTCTGACACTTCAACAGTTAATAGGCAAAATATCTTGGCAAATACATCTCAAAAGGCATAGACTGCAAAACTAGATTTATTCCCAAAAATACATTTGAAGAAACATTTTAATCAAGAAACAAAAAATTAAAAAGGAAATTGCAACTTGACTAATTTAAAGAGGAATTTTCAACACTAAATAGAAAAACACAGAAATTAAGATATGCTAAGTCAGAAGGGGGACATCCTATCCCTAGACAAAAACTACAGGCAATTAATGACTGCTAAGAGAGTTAGCCTTTCCCAGGGATGAGCCCTCTAATTGGTTATCCGATACAAAGTGGTCAGGACTGAAGCCATATTCAAACAAGAAACATAAAAAGGACTTTCCAGGTGTATTTACATATTTAAGGGTATATAAATATACTTATGTAGGGTATGTGTGTGTAAAACAATTTTTTTTTTCCCTCCTCCCAGGCCGAGCCAAACAATCCTGCATAGGCCCCAGGTTTCAAACAGCCAACTCATGCAATGAGCACAAGATCTGGTCCCACTGCCTGGATGCCTCCCAAACAGATCAAGCCAATCAACTGTCTCATCCATTCAGAGGGCCTGATCCAGTGGGGACCCCTCAGCCATTGGTTCATAGTTCATGTGTTTCCATTCATTTGGCTATTTGTCCCTGTGCTTTATCCAACCTTGGTCTCAACAATTCTCGCTCATATAAACCCTCCTCATTCTCGCTAATTGGTGTAAAACAATTTTAAAAATGAGGCCAACAATTGGAGAGGGGGTAGGGTGCTATAGAAAGGTTGGAGGGAGAATGGAAGGGGGTAAATGATGTAATTATATTTTAGTTTAAAATTAAAGAAAGAAAAATAAACCCAAACTAAAATAAAATTTTTTATAACACTGTCTTAGTTAGGGTTTATAATGCTATGAAGAGACACTATGACCCAGGCAATTCTTAGAGGAAAAACCATTTAATTGGGGTGGCTTACATTTTCAGAGATTTAGTCCATTATCATCATGGTGCAACATGGTGGTGTGCAGGAAGACATGGTGCTGGAGAATGAGCTGAGAGTCTTACATCTTGACCCACAGGCAACAGGAAATGATCTGAGATACTGGGCATGGCTTGAGCATATATGAGAACTCAAAGCCTATCCCGACCCAGTGACACACTTCCTCCATCAAGGCCATACCTATTCCAACAAAGCCCCGTCTCCTAATAGTGTCACTCCCTATAAGCCAATTACATTCAAACTACCATAGCTATGAAGACAAATATATGTTTTAAATCTCTCATTGTAAAAATATGCTACTTGTTTTCTCTTATTTGTGGATCCTCTATGTTTAGTGCATACACAAAGTCATTTGTACATTGGTATGACAAGAGCCTAAAAGTGCTTGTCAGGGAAATGGAATGGAATTAGGAGTGAGGAGGGCTAGAAAGGGAATTTTTAAGGGGTGAATATGGTCAGACTACATGATATACTTGAAAGTCTTTATGAAACCCATCAGTATGTACACACAATTTAGGCCAATAAAAAGGAAAGCCTGAAGAATATCCGGAAAAGGCTAGTTCTACATGATGTTGTTAGCTGTGCATTAGAAAATAATCACACTCTACCTAAATTGAGTGGAGGCATCTTTGAAGATGCTTTAGACTGTCCACAATAGGTCACTGTGAAGACTATTCCATTAATCGCCCTTCATCTAGTAGATACCAATTCATTTATAAGCTAGGCTATGTCTCAGAGTAACATGGCTGGCCTAGAAGGCATGATTCCATGGATTTTATTCCTAGCATCACTCAGATGAGAGTAAATTCATAAATGAGTATATTTGTTCAATGAAAGTATTTGAGAAACAACTGTTAGTGAATAGTCACTCACAAAAAAGTGTGAGTGAGAGGCGGGAAAGGCATTACTAGAAGTGATTTACTTTCCTAAAAAAAAAAAAGAACTATGTGACACATAATGAATATTTCCCATCCTTAAAGGACTACCTCTAAGTGCTTTATTGTTATGAGAGGCCTTCCTGGTAAAGAAAGATTATTAAATATTGTGAAATGCCTTCATGACTGACCAGTCTACAAAAGGTGATCAACATATTTCAAAGTATTTAGAGCAAACCAATAGAAAAAGGTGTTTGCTATGTATTCAACCTTACATTTTTTGGTTAGTGTGGTTTGTGCTATCGGTTGAGTGATGAATTTCTGAAAGCACAAACTTACCTTACAGGTTACTTGAATATCCTGAGATGACAACTTGATGGAACCAGATGACTTGCCATGAAATGAACTGCAAAGCTGAAAAAAAAATGTGAATCTCCCATTATTTCAAACTTAGAATGACTTTCCATTTAAATGCACTGTTTTCATCAAAGAGTTGCCAGATCTTAAAATCACAAGTGCTAGAATACAGATTGTGTGTATGGGAGTTTACGGTCAAAGAAAGACTGATCTTCCAGGTAACTTTCCAATTGTGTACTAAGACAGCCCCACAGTGATACAGCCAGGAAAAAAGGATTATCTTTAATCTGCTCAAAACAATTTAAGATAGTTTAACTTTTATCGTTAATAGATATTCCCCTAAGATAAAAATTTAAAAGGTGATATAAACTTCCAAGGAAAAATTATTGTATACCATTAGGGAAAGTTCTAGGTAAAAGCAAATTACAGAGCTTAATAAAAGAGTATATACATTCTTTCATAATCACATTACTTTAAAAAAATATTAACATTGCTACTAGGGGAATCTAAAGGCAAGTATCCCTCCCTAGTTGGTTCACTCTACAACCTCAGAGCAATTGTAACTTCTGAGCCCTGGCCTGCAGAATATCTTTTCCTGGAGGGTGAAATCTGAATCAGAACTGTGCAGTGTTTTGCATGTTGGAAGTCTGCTTTGAAACATACACTGGAGAGGACAGTGTAGGTACAGGTAAGTTCAAAGGTCTGCACAGAGGCAAGCCTGATACCAGGTAGGCACATAGAAAATACTTAAACAAGGAAATTGCATTAGTATCTTAATAGCTCTGTCTGCTGATAATCCAAATGCCCCTTTATGTATACTTAACTTTGTGGATAAGTTGTTCCTGATATGCCAGAAATTAAGGTTTCAGGGCATTTTCCAATACACATGTCATAACCATGGGTCTAAAGTCTCAAAATGGCCCCAAACACATTATGTCATATACAGTGTGTTTTTGACGCCACCTTGTGGGCCTTTCTAGGGGATTACTGAAAGTACAAGCAGACAAATGCCACCAAGATTTGGGAAGGAAAACAAGCCATGTTATTTCATAAATATACCACCTAGCTCACAAATATTGGCTAAGCCTTTAAAACCCACAGTGAAGGACATACTGTGCTGCTAATCACTCCTTCAGTCAGGCCATTCCATTCTCCCTTTTTATTGCATGGTCTGCTCTCCTTGTTAGGTAAACTTCTGCTTTAACTGTCTCATGACTGAGTGTGTCCCTTCCATAAGTTAAGAATGAAGGAGAAACTTGCACCTGGTAACTTATTTTTGTGTTGTGATTTGGGTGAACAGGTATCAACAAAATGCATATATCTGAATCTCTACAATTGGCAAATGACTTGTGCTTAAATCTAAGGTGTGTACTATCTACTATAACTTGCCCTCACATTCTTTTTCTATCAAATTTTTCCAGGCCTGAGCCTCTTCTGGGTGGAGAGCCTTAAGAGGAACTCCTTAGCTGACAGACTGCAAAGTCAGTCACTGCCTTCCTACTGCACTGGCTTCTTGATGGCTCACCATTGATCCTTTGATTTGTGTTACTCTGGTTTCTAACCCCCCCTTTTTTTCAATTAGAACCCATACACTATTAATGAGTACTTCATGTGCTAAAGATAGAGAATCCATCAAAGACATCCATACCCTGTTTCTGGGTTTGATGGCACTATAAAAGCTTTCCCCAAAAGACTACCATATAGCACTGATCACCAGATGCCCCAAGGCAGTCTCTTGCCACTAATACGGTCAGAAGAGACACCACAGACCATGTAGAGATAAACCAAGACTGGAGTAATGTCCAGAGGAGCTAATCTCATTAATCAATGTTATTAGTTCCTAAACACATTACAGTAGCCACTCTCTTTCCAAGAGCTACCTTGCAACCTCTATAGGCAACATCTGCTCAGCCACTCTTGCCTCCTTTTCCATGATACTATCTTTAACACAAATTTCTGCTGCCAACCATCTTGTCTATTTTGCTTCTTTATTGGTGCACATGTGAGCACTGCTAGATGTACAGCCATTATGAAAATACCCATTTTAAAAATGAATGTTTTTGCTGTGTATAGAATATATAAGTAAGTGGGATAAAGCCTATTTTAAAGGTACCTTTGGATGTAAGGATATGTTGCTTTGGAAAAGAGTCTCTGCTTTTGTTTTAAGAGAAAGCCAAAGGCTATGGATTTGTTCCAGATTAAGATACATCAGGTTTGACCAGCCAAGACCCCCTGAAAGGTCTCTGATGACACAATGGCCCAGATGATCCAACATCCAAAACGGTTTCAAGGCAACTCGCTCAGATGATACACCCTCATGGACTACTCCATAATCCTAAATTTTTTTTTGTGTCCCCATAAGATACAGCACCCCCTCCAGAAGGAAGTAGTAAGAGAAGCTATGCCCAATTTCCCAAATATACCAAGCTGGCTTTGGAGATGGAATTGGTTCACTCCTTCTCTAAATCTAAACATATTGCTAAAAAAAAAAAAAAAGGTTAAAATATTCTTTTGTCCTATATCAGAAGAGCCCCTCTGGTGTGGGATAGAGAAAAACCAATATTTTTATTTAAATCAAGTTGATTATAAATGCGATCTCTTTCTAAAGAAAAAAAGGGGATATGATATTGATATAAGATAAAAGGG